TGGGCCCGGCTTGGACTGGGGACCGGGCGGGGCGCGGGCTGGGCCTCTACGGCGGAGGGCGGCCGCGCCGTTAGGACTCGCGCGAGGGACCGGCGCTGTGACCTTGAGGTGGCCGCTCCCCCTCTCCGACCCCGAGCTGACGCCTGAAGCCGACGGGGAGCCGCGGGGCCTCTAAAGCAACTGCTGAACTGGCCGGAGGGCTCTGCGTCACGCTCCTGAGCGGGAGCGGCCCAGTGCCGAGGCCCGAGGGCCTGGGAGAGACGGGATCGAGGGGTGAGGGTGAGATGGGATTGGGGTGACGGGGGAGCCAGTCCACGTGAAGCACTAAGGCCAAGGGCGGTTCGGTGTGCTGGATGGGGGCGCTGGGCGGGGTTGGGGCGCCATGGAGGAGGGAGGCTCACGCTGTAGCACGGGGCCCTTGCTGGGTGAGCTGGGGGTTCAGTGAGGGCACTCCGAGGGTATTTTTAGACTAGAAGTGCCGCCCCCCAGCCCTGTACCTTCGACCTCTGCTGTGGGAGCTGGCCTCAGTCATGACCGCCCTTCATGTCCACTGCTGCTTTTTGCCCAGGACCAGGCCGGATGCTCTCCATGGGGCACTGCCGCCTTTGCCACGGGAAGTTCTCCTCCAGGAGTCTCCGCAGCATTTCCAGCAGGGGGACTGGGGAAACTGTGGAGCGAACCCCCCCGGGTGAACACGTCTTCATCAGGGACTTCCAGCGGCTGCTGGGGGTGCCTGTCCTCCAGGACCCAGCTTTGTCACCCTTTGTCTGCAAGAACTGCCATGCCCAGTTCTACCAGTGCCACAGCCTGCTCAGCTCCTTCCTACAGAGGGTGAACGCCTCCCCCACGTGTCGCCGGAAGCCGTGTGCAAAGTAGGCACCCATTTGTACTTCTTGGTCAGAGAGTGACCCTGGGTACTGTCTGGGACCAGGTGTGGGAACAGGCAGGCCAGGTCAGGTGAGGACCATCTGCAGAGGGGACACAGTGTGAGTACCACTGCAGTGGGCCGGTGGTGAAGTGCAAGCAAGACTAGTAGAGTAGTCGTCACCTGAGGGACAGCAGGACACTCTGAGACCTTAGGGGACAGCCTTGAATGCAAAACAGAGACTTGGGCTCTTGCTCACAGCCACCCCGATCTTTTGTAGGGCTGGAATGCAGCCTCAGACTGCTGCTGCTACGGATGGCTCATGTCCAGGTGAGTGTTGGGGTGCATGGGCAGCTGGCGTGGCAGGTGTTGGCCCAGGCTGACTCTATCCACTTTCCTCAGCAGACCAGGTCACGTGGAGCCCCCAGTGCCTGCAGGCCCTAGTGGGGTGGGTGCATGGGCACGCGGCTGGCTGCGGGGCCCTGCCCAGTCTGCAAAAGACACTGTCCTCTGAATACTGCGGTGTCATCCAGGCCATATGGGCCTGCAGCCAGGGTCACGACTATGCCATGGACACAGACTCTGGCTGTGGGGCTTTCATGCTGGACAGCGCGCTGGCAGTCAAGTGGGAGTGGGACAAGGAGACCGCTCAGAGGCTTACTCCTAGTCGGGGGCTCAACATTGCTGGGGCTGCCCCCCAACACTCCCAGGACAGAGGGACCACGGCCGAGACTGAGACAGAGGTGCTGCCCAGCACAGACACGGCCCAGCCTCTCTTGGATGGCAGTCCTGTGGGACTTGGGCAGAGTGCCCCACCCCAGCCAAGGCCACCCCCCAGTGGGGCTCGAGGTATGAGACTTCTCCAGCTGCCTTCATCTTGAGACTGGAAGTTGTGGGGGGGCTGTTGAGGAGACTGGTGGGAACAATGTGGGAGCCACTGCAGCCCCTCAGAGGGGTCTTTGCTACTCCCTTGGCAGAGGAAGCCAGGCTGCAGTCCAGTTGGGCCCCTGGAACCTTTGTGAGCAGCTGGCTGAAGCAGTTTCTGTAAAGGCGCATGCCTCCAACCTCCAGTCTTCTTTGGTCCCATGTTCTGAGCAAAGGGCACTAGCCTGCCCTGTAGGCTGAGAGGTCAGAGGAAAGAAGAATGGGGCCCTTGTCCATAGGGTGGGGGGGAGGGGCAAGCCGCTGCTGCTGAAGCTCATATTTGGGGCCAGCTGCAGGTCACTCCCTGGACCTCAGCCAGTTGTCCTGAGGACACTCCAGTGGGACCAGTACGGATGGGCAAACACAGGTCCCTTGTTTGAGGCCTGGATCCCATTGTGGCTGCCCTAGGATGCTGGCGTTGGAGGGCAGGGGCCAGCCTCCCAGTGGAAGCCTCGAGTGTGTTATTTGTGCATACTTATTTGTACATACTCTTGTGTGCGTGTGAGGGCTTCACAACTATTCACACGTTAGAGTGGGTGGCGTTTTACAAACTTGAAGCTCTGTTCAGGTAAAGGGATCTAGGGACGGGGTGGGCAGGGAGTAGTTGCTGTGGCTATGTGTGCATTTTTGTACTCCTTGGCTTGTTACACTGTGTACACACAATGCTTGTGTAAACATACTTTTTTAATATCTGAGAACACCCACCCAGTACTGAGTCTGAACTAATGGGAGGGGCTGGGCTTGGTGAGGTGGTCTGTGCCTGGCACTGGTGATGGGGAGACTGGGGAGGCACTGTGGTAACAGGAGCCTTTTCTCTTTCTCAGGGCAGTTGAGTGAGAAGCAGGTTCCATCTTCAACCTCGGATGATCGGGTAAAAGACGAGTTCAGTGACCTTTCTGAGGGGTGAGAGAAGAGTGGGTTTCAACAGCCTAAAATTCCTTCTTCGAAAACCAAACTCCGCCATTCTAGGTGCTTCCTGCCTGGCCCTAGTCCCCACCTCCCCTCCACGCTTGAGATTGGGAGGAAGGAGTAGATTGGGGGGCTTACAAGCTAGCCTCAGGCCTGACAAGTGCCGTGGTCGGTGCATTACAGGAGTGGGCCCTCTTTGTGACTTCAGGATGCTCTCATGTCCAGGCCACTTGCTTAACTCCTTCCACATGATCTTGTCCTTCAATGTCTCCATGTTGTCCCAACCCTAGAGGTCCCCAGTGCAGAGGAGGCCAGGCTCTGCCTTTGACTGTGACATGAAGTAGAGGCTCTGTGCAGGATGTGGAGGTGGTGGTCACACCCTCTCCTTGGAGGGTGCTCTCAGGGCCTGTTCCCACCTGGATCTGGCCAGATGCCAGACAACTATTTTGATGCTGCCCCATGGGTGCTCAAAATGAATGACTGTGGGTGCTGGAAGTAGTGGGGTGAGAACTGGCTAACCACCCAGAGTGTGCTGCCTAACAGTCTTGGTGGCAGCTTACCTGTTAGGAAAAGGTTACAGGTGGATAGGTTTTTGCTTTTGACTTTGTGAACTTTGCCTGCTAATTAGATACACCTTGCAATTACAAGGCAAGGTGGCTAACTTCTGAAGTACTTTTGGGGCAAGGCCACTTGTTCTGGGGGGGTCTCACACCCAGTGAGGGTTCTCAAGGGGCCGTCCATTGTGAGGTTCTGGCTTGACGTTCAGTTGCAGGTGGTTTGCTGACCTGTTTGACTTCAGTGATAGGAAGTGGAGTTGGAGAATGGGACATTTTAGGATTCGGTGGGAAGTCTGGGCAAACTGAACGTGATGTGTGGCCTGCCCACTGTCCGGGGCTTGACCGAGGTGCCCCTCTCCTCCCTAGAGATTTCCTGAGTGACGATGAGCATGACAAGCAGCAGAATGTCCCATCATCTGACGAGTCCTTCGAGCCATATCCGGAGAAGAGGTGAGGCTGGCTACCAGCTGTCCTGGGGAATGGCATCTTGCAGGGGACCAGAGCACGAAAGGGCTATTGGAGCTATGGGGTGGGGCTGTACTGGGAGGAGCAGCCAGTGGCTGAGAAGAGATGTTCTTATTTAATTATTTTGTAGTCAGTCTACATGTAACAAAGCATTTGCCATTTCAATGTTTTTTACTTGTATAATTTAATGAAGTTAGTTATAATTTTGTTGTTGAAACATCACTATGACCTATCTGCAGATATTTCTGTCACCCTTCGGAGAAGCTAAAAAAAAGGAGCCCTGGTGGATTATGCATTGGTCTGCTAAACTCAGGGCCAGCGGTTCAGCGAAAGCACCAGGGCTCTCTGAGGGAGAGAGATGGGTCTTCTGTTCCTCGTAGCGTTACATTCTGGAAGCCCCAGGGGCACTTCTACTCTGCGTAAGAGAAGCTCAGTGCCCCCGAAGCAATAGTTTCTTTTCCTCCCTCCCTCTCTCCCAGGGAAACCCCCAGTAAAATGTTGGTCTTTATATAATTGCCTATATAGTATAGGTGAGCTAATGCGTCTAAGGGAGATCGGTGCAGTATTTGCCTTTTTATGACTGATTTCACTCGACGTGTTTTCAAGGTTCCTCTGTGTCATAGCATGCATCAGACTGAAGGAATACTCCGTTGTGTGTATGTGCAGGTACACCACCACATTTTCTTTAACCTTTCCTCTGTTGATTTAGTTTGTTTCTACCTCTTGGCCATTGTGAATGAGGCCTTCCTACTTTCATTTCCTCTTGAGTGTACACCCAAGGGTGGGGTTGCTGGGTGGTATAACCATTCTTAGTTGAAGTTTTCCACAGTGGCTGTGTCATTCTACAGTTCCTTCAGCAGTGGACTAGAGTTCGGGTTTCTGCAAATCGTCACCTATTTTCCGTTTTAAAACAGCCAGATTACAGGGTGGGAAGTGGCGTCTCCTGGTGGTTTGGGTGTACATTTATATCCCTAATGATTAAGGATTTTGAAAATCTGTTCAAGTGCTTGCTGACCATGTCTTTCTTCTTTGGTGAAATGTCTATTTCAGGGCTTTGCCACCTCTTCTTCTTTTTTTAAAAAAATAAATCATTTCATTGGTGCTCTTATAGCTCTTATCACAATCCATACATCAGTTGTATCAAGCACATTTGTACATACGTTGCCTTTATTTTATTTTTTTAAAAAATCACTTTATCGGGGGATCATACAACTCTTATCACAATCCATACATACATTAATTGTGTAAAGCACATTTGTACATTCGTTACCCTCAACATTCTCAAAACACACTCTCCACCGAAGCCCCTGGCATCAGCTCCTCATTTCCCCTCCCTCCTGCTCCCCCTCCCTCCTGAACCCTTGATAATTTATAAATTATTATTTTGTCATATCTTAACACTGTCCCGACGTCTCCCTTCACCCACTTTTCTGTTGCCTGTCCCCCGGGGAGGAGGTTATATGTAGATCCTTATAATCGGTTCTCCCTTTCCACCCTCCCCTCCCCCCACCCTCCCAGTATCGCCACTCACCACTGGTCCTGAAGGGATCACCCGCCCTGGAGTCCTTGTGTTTCCAGTTCCTGTCTGTACCAGTGTACATCCTCTGGTCTAGCCAGACTTGCAAAGTAGAATTGGGATCATGATAGTGGGGGGGGGAGGAAGCATTTAGGAACTAGAGGAAAGTTGTATGTTTCATCGTTGCTACACTGTACCTTGTCTGGCTTGTCTCCCGACGACCCTTCCGTAAGGGGATATCCAGTTGCCTACAGATGGGCTTTGGGTCCCCTCTCCCCACTTTCCCCCATTCACAATGGTATGATTTTTTTGTTCTTTGATGCCTGATACCTCATCTCTTCAACACCTAGTGATCACACAGGCTGGTGTGCTTCTTCCATGTGGGCTTTGTTGCCACCATCATCATTTTAAAGGCATCTTCTACTTGGGCCCGATGTCAGGCCTGGGTCCCCTCTGTTTTTGGAACAGTTGCTTGTCTTGTGTTAAAACCTAGGCGTTCTCTATGCACTCTGCGTGTTCAATTCGTACTAGCTGTGTGGTTCCCCACATCTTATTTCCAGGCTGTGGGTTGTCTCTTCACTTTGCTCATACAGTCCTTTGATAAAGATTTGACAAAGTTCAGTGTTTCTCTTTTACCTGCTGTTGTGGTGTCATAGCTACAAACCCACACTTGAAGACGAAGTCCAAATGCATTGCCGTTGTGTTCCCTAAGTATTAGTTAGGACTTTGAGCCATTTGGGGTCTTATCTTTTTATGGTGGGAGGTATAGATCCACAGTCATAAGGGTTCACCAGGTTCTGGTGGAACGCCCTGGACGGTGGTCCTTCGGGTCTGGAGGTGAGTTCTTCCTGTGAATCCGCAGTGGGAGCCCTGCGGGGCAATGGGTACAAGTTGGGTTGCTAGCCAGCCCCAGGCTCAGCAGTTTGAAACCACCACACGGGTGGAATGCAGGCTTCTGCTCCCTTAAGCGTTGCAGTCTTGGAAACCCACAGGGGCTGTTCTACCCTCTCCTTTAGGGTGAACCCTATGAGTTGGAGTCGTCTTGATGGCAGTGAGTTTTTCTGGTTTGGCTTGGTGGATCAATTTTTAGCTAAATAGGTTTATAAGAAAACAATAAATACACCTTAGAGGACCCAACCGTTTGAGAGCAAAAGGGCAGCCTTTCCTCAAGGACAAAATTCAGAAGGTTAGGAAAGCAGGAGGAAGTAGGGTAAGTGATGGTGCACAGAGGGACTATAATGAATGAGAAGACACCCACAGGGACAGTTCTGTCTTGTCCCTTTGGGTCACTATTGGTCAGAATCAACTCGATGGCAGTGAAAAATCTCTTTTTAATCTGTCTTTTCAATAAAGAGAATTTATCAAAAGAAAATGTACGAATTATTGCATCTAAAACATGATTTGACCCACAAGTCTTCACCTAATTCACAATAAAAAGTTTTAAAAAGAAAAAAAGTGGTACTGGGAGAACTATTTTTCCCACAAGTTAAAAGAATGACAGGGGACCCGGAACCCTGAGAGCTGGATGAGCCCCTGAGACTACTGCCCTGAGATTACCTTAAGCAAAAACATCCCCTGAAGTAGTCTAAAAATTGAGCAATTAAAAAGGTTTTGCTCTGTCTTGTTTTTATGCATGTTGTCTCCGCAGGCCTGTCTGGATAGGACAGGCTGGATGAACAATCTGGAGGAGAAAACAACGGGACTGAC